TATACAATTATATATAAAATATGTCCATTTATATACAATTATATAAAATTATATATATTTTTATATAATTTTATATAATTATATATAAAATAATTTTTTCCAGGCCGTCAGGTTCCGAAGACTGAAGCGGAATTTAATATGTAAAGTTGTAAAATTGTAACAATATGTAGGGAAGGGATAATTCTCAAAAATGTGAGTAACTCACCTCAAGTAGATCGTTTAACCAACATTGATCGTTCATTATGTATAACTTGCTGATGATGATTCCAAAGAGAGTAGAAACGTTCAAGATTTCGCAATAAAGCTGCACATCATCTATCAAATTGAAGTATTTTACACGAATTAATACCTATGCGCACCATAATACCTATCCGCGCTGACTCTCATTAGTCTTAATATTATTGTTATTTATTATTATAATGTATACGTACTTATGCGGAGAGCTTTAACTGGACTCAATGCTCTAACGATCGATTTTTCCAAATAACAAATTATATTGTTAACAGAATGAAAGATTTTTACATATTTTGTATGAAATGAAATCTAAAGGAATGCATGACTTTTTGACCTACTTCTCGGATTCTAAAAGGATCAATTTTTAAACACATGTTAATTCAAACAATCTACATTCTAATGACTCCGAAATCTAAAGAAATATTCTAGCGATTCTTAAATGATTTAAAAATATTTCTATGAGAAATAATAACGGTTCGCAACTCCTTTTTACTTTTCGTGAATACTTGAAACTAATTTACCTCACAATTGCTGATATCAAAATGTCTTGAAATGTAAATGACACTCTCTTGTCTGACAGTATTTATAGAATAACCCGACGGAAGTTGGGAGAACACTGAGAGACGCGTCGCGGACGGAGAAACTCTCTTTCTCTCTGTTAGCATGCAACTAGTCCCAAGGTAAGACTATTCTATTGCTGCATCTCGGCTGCAGCTCTGACTAGCCTAGATTCACTTAGGCCTCGTGCGGACGACAGTGCAAACGCATGCGCGAAAGAACCCGTTAACCGTGCGTTTTATTGCGCGGTCATTCATCCTGCAAAGCAAATTTATATCGGCCGATGCCGATGACACATTTTAGCAACTGTTCATCATGATGATGGATGATATTTTTCCGGCGAAGAGATATTGCTCGGGACGTTCCGCGAATCTTGTTGCGATCGCGAAATGAGGGCGGGAGGAGAAGGAGGAGGACGACGGGGATTAGCAAGAAGGTCATATTGAGACTACCTTCGAGAAGCCCGATGAGAATTATCGCGTCACTCTGGGGCGCGCATTTCCGTTCCAGACTAATGTCTTGTTTCGTGGAATTGTCTGGCCGAGATGGAGTTTAATTGACGATGCACGTCCGATAATTCGCGCGATGCCATAATGATAGTGCTTTAATTAACAACTTTGCACCACGTTATCAGTGCTTGAAGCCCAAGGTTGTAGTTTTCCGAGGAATACCGGATGGGTATCGTATTTGCATCGGGAAGAGTAACGTGATCGCGCTGCTTGTATATCGGTCTGTAGAATCCGATAGGCGAACGTCGATTGAGCATAACACGAAGATTATTCTGACTCATTGTATCTTATTGAAACGCAGCTTGTTATGATAAGACGCGAAATTGAGAGAAATTTGCGTCGTTTCGCGATAGTTGATCTTTCCGCATTTTTAATCTTTTCACGGTTCACTCAAAACAAAATAAGAAATTGCCCATTAAGCTGATATACTACGCATTTGTATATTCGTGTATTAAATACAGAACGAGATAAGCATATTCAGAAACCCAATGAAAATAAGTATACGTCTATTCGACGAATGGAACTTATAAATTACATTTTTCAAATTATTTTAGAAAATATATTTTATATTTTATGTATTTATTTATTTTGACACAAGGTACATATATCTCTCTACACAAGTAAAATAAAATTTAATATTATACTAACATACGTATATTAATTACAAGAAAATTAACATTTTTTTAAGTATCTCGAAAAATCAATACAAATATAAAATCTTCGACGGCGCTTAATCGACATACCTTATATGATTCTAATTGTAAGTTAAATTAGTCGAGAATATTTGAAATTTGCAAAATACTACTTTTACTGTTTATAATTCATAAAATTATGAAATTATCGTCTGTAACTGCCACAATATAAACTTTTTAATTAAGCATAGAGATTTGCGGACTTTGAAGCGCAAAAAAGTTTGACATTAGTTATACTATACGGAAAGAATGTTTTTTTTACCGTTTTGCTGAAGCATTTACAAATTTAGATACAGATATAAAAATATGTAATTTTGTTGGATCGTCAAAATAATTAAATAACACTTATATTAGTTGTTAGACTGTTAAATTTTTTTGTAACAGTATAATCATATTCTAAATGTTTTAGATAATTATTTTGATAATCTAAGAAAATTATTTTTAGATTTGTATCTAATTAAATACTTGAGCAAAAAATTGTTCTTTCCGTGTACGTATCTTCAATACAATTCAACCAAGTGTCAGAAGAGATATCTATATCTCTAACGATAGAATATTTTTTTTACAGATAACACAACGGGAAGTGCGACCGTAAGAAGCCTTACATGCAGATATTCGTGCAATCACGCAGGAGGAATTCTAAAAAAAGGTAACAGCTGAATCAGCGGTGCGTCTAGAGACGTAGTTTTAAAAACATTCTCCTTCCTTGGGCACGGCACTTCCTACGGCTGGGGGATTCCGCATCGTGATTGCCGTCGAGGAAACACGAGTAACTAAATCGCGCATAAGTTTTTTTCTCAGGTAAGCTCGCACTTGAACGTTGAACGTCCAAACGTTTTTCATGTCTGATGCTGGTCTTCGCGTTAGACTCGCTCCTTGACTTTAGCCTCGATCAGTCAACGAGACTTTTTCTCTTTGCCGCTGATCGAACGAGCTGCGACAAAGCGTACGAACATCTCGAAGACGCGACGTGATTGTCTCGTTTTACGGCAAAAATCTGTAATTTTTCGTCACGGGGGGCAAAAATATTCACTGTGAAATTACCAATAATCGATGCTTCTCCGCAGCCTCTTCTCTTCTTTGGCGTGGCCATGTTTTTAGTCCACGAGTCAAGTCATTCGCATGATGTTGGTTCACGTTATTACGGTGGTCCACTGATGTCAGACTTATCTTTCTTGATATATTTGAGAGAAAATAATTTTTCATGTATAAAAAATTATGTAACCTTGTAGAATCGATTAAAAAGTATAAAGATGTCAATGTGATCGACCTGTTGTTAACTGTTTCACGAGCAGTTTTAACCGACTACGCGCGATATACGTTGACGCACGTCTGTGTTACACGACTGTGCGCTTATTGTTTCTTTTTTCCTCGTAACAATTACAAACTTCTGCTTTCTGCATGATAATAATCTTACAGAGAGCCGTCGATTGCATAAGTGGAATGCATGCGACGATCGAACAATGTGGAGTAACAATAATAATATTTACTATCGTTTTAGCACCGTTATTGCAAAACGGTTATGGCACATTGCATAAATGATTTGCGACAAGTGTTTCTTTTAGTAATTTAAAAAAAACGTAATTATGTCAGCAAGAATTAATGCAAGAATAACTTGTCTTTCTCTTATAAAATTAGAAAATGTATGTTATTTTTAACATATTTCATGTATCTTAAATGGTGGTCCACCCACATTTTCGTGTAATTTTATTTTAAAATTTACGTGTAATTTATTTTAATATACTTTAATACATTGTAAAATTTATTACAAGATAAATATGTTAGAAAATAACATGAATATTACAAAAAAATTAACAAAAAATATAACACTGATACAATTTGTAAAAAAATTGTAGAAGCATATTTTTTCAATAAATTTAATATTTATAATATGTTAAATTAACATTTTATTCATTTATCTTGATATTTACGTTTTAAAATACAAAGTCACTTACTCTGATAAATTGTTATTTTAACACTAAAAAATGTCGACTTTAATACAAAATGTTCAAAGAACACAATCACGTTATGTTAACAAGTACAAAATATTTTCTGTGCGAGGTTCTGTGTGCCTTAAATGAAGTTGAAGTAATAAGTTCGGGACGCAAAAAAGATTAACTAGGAAAAAAGAATCATTAATGCGGGCAAGATTCGAAAAATCCAACTTGCGCGCAACCGCGCGTATAATGCGGTTCTTTCGTTCTGCGCCTCGACACCTGTGTGAAAGAAGATTCCCCCGAGTAAATTCGCTCATCCCTGTCCGCCAAGAAGTCGTATGAAAAAGTGGAGAGGGTTCGACTGATGCCCAGTAATTATTCCGCTTGAGTTACCGAGCAAACGGACAGGCCCTTAGCGCCCCGAAGAAATTTCTACCGGACGGTCCCCTCGTGGCGAAGAAGTCATTTGCATCTTTTACCACGAGAAAAGATTTCCGATGCCATTCGAGATAGAACTAAGCTAGCGTGGCGAAACATTGCGTGATCCGAAACGCCGCCTAGCAACTATTCGCTTGTTTCGCAAGCTAAGTAGGGGTTTTTGTACATTATCTCTTACACAATACAATTGTACTGTGTGCATGGACATAGAAACCAAACGATGTTAGAACAACGTATTTTTAACGCATTTTTTTACATCTTTTTATTGAAATCAACAGTTCTTGCCATGAATGTATCCAATATTTCAGCCAGGAGAGGAGCCAAAAGTTTATAATATAATATATATATTTTCACATATATAAAACTTTATATTAAAATTAAATATATTGAGAATCTTCGGCGAACTTTTTTTACAAATAACGCGTGAGCCACACATTGGCTAATAAGATTTAATTTTTCGTCGTAAAAATGATTTTCATAATTTAATCATTTCTCCTTGCCGGTCCTTCTTGCATATGCTTTTTTTCACATGGTTTTTTTCTTTGTCGTATTCCGAAAAAAAAATTTTGTTTGTTTTCTTTAATACCGTAAGACTTATTGGCTGTGACTTATTTAGCTTAGTATCGTGTGTGACTAACATGAGTATTTTTAGTTTGACGTCTGCCTAATCAATATTAATGTTCTAACAGTACACATGACTGACCGTAGAGAATAGAATACCTGTTAATGAACTTCTTTAGAATCTTATTGTTTTTTTCATGTCGATGAAATATCATTAATTCCGTAAAAAAATTTAATTTTATAAAAAAGTTTTATTACACTACTCGTACGATGAAAGGTTTTGTTTGGATTCGCGAATAAAACGCAATATGCGTAATATTAATTAAAGCTGATAGCTAATAATGTTATCGAAAACTATTTCACCTTGTGCGCGTTCTTGACTTCGTTTCTTATCGCGGGTCGTAAAAATTGCGTGCACCCGGCACTCAGGTATCAACGTTATTAACTTGTCTCTAATGCGTTTCGGATTTGCTCGATAGCACGCGACCACATTCGTTTTGCATTCTATCCGATAGTAATCATCAATATCAAATTACACACTTCAACAAAAGAATCATTTTTCTTCTCCCTGAAATGCCGTAGCAAGTATAGACTCTGAAAATTTTTTCGCACCGAACACGTTGCCGTTGACGAAATTTGCATAGTGCATTAGAATTTTGAGTAAATTGCAATGAAATAGGCTAAGAACGTTATTTTCTCCCATTTCACTACAATTTATTCAAAATTCTGATTAATTTACTGATGAAATTCATAAAAATTTTCAAACTGTTTCCTTTTTTCTCTTTCATGAATTTTCGCGTGATTTCTAATTATGTTCTTTTTGAACACATATTCGGAGTCTTTCTAATTTGCATTCAAAATCACGTGCCTTAATTTCGATGTTGGGGGAGTCAGCTGTGTCCTCCTTCTTCAGCAGGCAACGAACCCCGAGCGATTCTTATGAATGGAATGCATATTCATTCAATTTCTGCGCGGTGCACGTGTTGGCTTCTACAGATCCGACATATGCT